ACAACGACCACCGGAGGTGATCACCCGGAAGCGAGTGGAGAGTGGTAGAGCTGTTAGCCAATCCACCGTGCTAGCATCTTTTGTTCTTGTTTCTGATGCACTGGACACATCGTTGTCAAAAACAGCGGAAGCAAGAGAGGCTTATTGTTCCACTTGCTTTTTACCAATGCTCATCAACACTTTCAAAGAACGATTCACCCCACATGTTCCAACCCCACCCCTAGTGGCCAGGAGGCTTTGTTGGTCAGACCTCTGGTCATTGACCAACATGGTATGAGAGTCTGCGAGTGTCGCACGGACATTCCACAGTATAACAAATGAAAAACCGTTCAGCTGTAATGCCCTTTCGGTGCCTAACTGACAGGCCACCAGAAGGAAGCACGAGGGCTGAGACACTGCCAGGTTGACCAAGCCTGGACTTGGGAAGTCGAGATGCAGAGGTCAGGTTCGAACCACGGACATTTCGGTCAGTAAATTCGCGCTCTAATCACTGAGCCATCTCGCTGTATGCTCTATGGACATCGGAGATACACGCACCACCACATCACAATAAGTTCACATCTCTGTGAGGGACAACCACTGATAAGAATGCTCCGCCTATACACAAGAAGGAGAGCCAGAATCGCCTGAACACTCAACAACAATCTAACTCACCATCTATAGTTCTTTGGTCGGATTCCTTACCCGCAACGCGACCCTGGACAGTGAACGTGGAATCCACAGCAACTTCGGAAACAATCAAATGTTCTTTCGCCCTCAAATGTCACGTGGCTACTGTTGCTAAAAAACTCCTACTCATTCTGCTCAATGATAGAGGAGAAATTCGCAGTCGGTGATCATCTAACTTATGTGCCTCTGGACAAAAGAGACCAGAGTGAGTCGACGAAGGCGTGTATTTTCGAAAAAGTTTCTTCTACTGAGTGAGGCAGTCATAGATGAATTAGTTTGACCCCTGTTGTAAAAAGACTCTGCGTCACTTATCATGCGTTGTCTCAAGAAAGGGTGTGGAGACAGAAAACACGATTCCACCAGAAAAGGGCTGTATGGACCACTTCATCACGCGCCGTAAAGTGCTAGAGCAAAGACATGCGTCCAAGTGTCCCAAAATCTTGGTGTTTTTTGACCTCAAGGGTGTACTAGGTCTATCGACCGGTTAATTCTCCCCAACAAGCTTACGCAACAGGATATACCCCACGGGTTCGTGAATATCGTGCACTGTTTGTATTCATATACTTGTGAGCGCAGGAGTATACGGAGAGCTGTCCAAAAGCTTTCACGCAAGTGTGTACGACAAGGATGTACGCTCTTTATTCTTCTTTGAATTCGTCATTGCTGAGGTAATGAGGCAGTCGCTGGAGGGTCTTCGAAGTCCATGTTCAGATCTCTCCAAGTGTTGTCAACCTAGAATATGCAAACGAGAGTCCTCATTTTTGCAGAGCAGGAAGCGCAAGCACTATGAGAAATGCTAGCCCAGGTTATACACCCCTTTGGAATGTGCTTCGAGCCCATAAAGTGCACACTGATACAATATAGTGCAAGTTTTGAACATGTTTTTAATGATTAAGGGGGTGGCAATGGAAGAAATTAATAAAAAATAATCATCCAACTGTATCGCTCTTTCACGTCTATCTGCTATGCCACCCGAAGGGAGCATGAAGGCTGGAATATTGCCAGGTTGCCCAAGCCCAGACAGGAGCTGTCAAGGTGCTGAAGTTGAGTTCGAACCAAGGAACTTTCGGTTAGTAGTCTGACACCCTAACTAATGAGATACCTCGGAAGTCACATCAGCCCTCAAGGTAGCGTGGGGGGAAAGTCAACACACGAATTTCAAAGACCAGAGTTGTCTTTTTCGATTCATGCCAATCATGGCGTCAAAAAAGCTAGCCGTGGACGTCTAAGAATGGGCGTGCCAGACAACAGTGTGGACCGCACTGCTTTACAGTGGTGAAATGTTATCACCTTGAACAAAGGACCAGAGACATCCTCAGGTCTTTGACCAGCGATGTCTTAGAACTATGGATCGAATTGGCTGAGACCAACGAATTCGCGGTAGTCACGTAGCAGAGTTTCAGCGAATCAGGCGGTACTTAACTCAAACGCGCATCCACTACAGCAAGCCACTACCAAGCCATGATTTACGTATGCCGAGTTACCGTCTGCCAAAACGAGCTCCTTTTTCGTGCCTAATTTGGAGTGGCGGAAAACTAGGGGTGGACATAATTTGACATGGCGAAATGGGGTGAGGGATGTTACGAAAAGTTTTGGTGCTGTTTACCTTCCACCATGGGGCCCACTTTACTCCCTGTGCTTGGATAGACGTTGGACGATACGGCGCCTAACAGGTAACGGTGGAGTTCACACTATCAGTCTCTATCCAGGTTGTCCGGCTGAGTGAAGGTGTAGAAACTTCAGATGCTGGTCGTGGGCCAGCCCTGGATATTCCCCCTACCCAATTCTTTCATTTTTTTTCATTGTATGGCGTTATTCAAATAAACTGGCATGGGTGTACGGCAGTGAAGCACCAGTGTTGTCCTCTGGCGTTGCTGCCAAGTGGTTACGATGGAAAATTCCTCATCTCCAATAGTGTCGGCTCAACAAGAGAATACCGGTTAAAGTAATAAAAACTGATGGTGTGTCTGAGTCATCCTACCCCTCCACGTTGTGGAAGATTGAAGCGGTTTACCCAGTCCGAGTCATTGAGATTCGTGTCTGACCCACTTCTACGTGCTACTAATAGGAATGAAGATTCATGAGGATCTCAAGTCACGATAGCCGTAAGTATATCCTAAGGGTTAATGAGGAATCATTTTCGTATCATGAGCTTCGTTGATCCATTCACTGGCCTTTTGCGATATTTTGGACATACGAGTGCAACCGCGATAGTGAGACCACTGCCGTTCGGTGAACACATCGAGGATTGATTTCCGTGATCTTATTAAGATGGCAATGCAACGAAATCCCTAACACGTGCATGGACGGATGCCACCGAATAAGACATCCAGTGGGGATTTTGTCCTGATTTTCGTCGCAGTGTCAAGGCTTGCAGCTAGCCAGCCAGTGACAAACAAAGGAAGATAACATTGAGAGCGATGAGGGAACGCTCGATGATGGTGAATATATGTCGTACAAGTACCGAATAACGTGTTTCGCACAAACCAAGCGGTTTATATTGTACTAGTGATGGCGAAAGGATCTGGCACGTTGACACACACCGTATTGACCTACCTTATCTTCACTAGAAAAGCTGACAACCTTGAACGGTCGTATTTCCGGCATTATTTACCTGTCAAACACTCAGCCTGAAAAGCACTACGAACTGGTCACCGCTGATTGTGTGCCATCAGACAAACTTACGCAGCAGCGTTCCCACGGAGTCAGCGCTGTACCAAGCAAGACTAGGACCTCCATTGGCTCACCGACTCAATCAGAAAGTTCAGATCGTTCAGTAGGGGAGCCAACCCACAAGCATAATCCGAGCAGACGATCGAATTATAATTACGACGAAACAAAAACGGACAGAAGTCGTCACGTAACCACCGATGTCTCGAGTACAGGAGGTTCACGGATTCACGGATTCACGGATTGATACACAGGATCAAACTGGCATGGGTGTACGGCAGTGAAGCACCAGTGTTGTCCTCTGGCGTTGCTGCCAAGTGGTTACGATGGAAAATTCCTCATCTCCAATAGTGTCGGCTCAACAAGAGAATACCGGTTAAAGTAATAAAAACTGATGGTGTGTCTGAGTCATCCTACCCCTCCACGTTGTGGAAGATTGAAGCGGTTTACCCAGTCCGAGTCATTGAGATTCGTGTCTGACCCACTTCTACGTGCTACTAATAGGAATGAAGATTCATGAGGATCTCAAGTCACGATAGCCGTAAGTATATCCTAAGGGTTAATGAGGAATCATTTTCGTATCATGAGCTTCGTTGATCCATTCACTGGCCTTTTGCGATATTTTGGACATACGAGTGCAACCGCGATAGTGAGACCACTGCCGTTCGGTGAACACATCGAGGATTGATTTCCGTGATCTTATTAAGATGGCAATGCAACGAAATCCCTAACACGTGCATGGACGGATGCCACCGAATAAGACATCCAGTGGGGATTTTGTCCTGATTTTCGTCGCAGTGTCAAGGCTTGCAGCTAGCCAGCCAGTGACAAACAAAGGAAGATAACATTGAGAGCGATGAGGGAACGCTCGATGATGGTGAATATATGTCGTACAAGTACCGAATAACGTGTTTCGCACAAACCAAGCGGTTTATATTGTACTAGTGATGGCGAAAGGATCTGGCACGTTGACACACACCGTATTGACCTACCTTATCTTCACTAGAAAAGCTGACAACCTTGAACGGTCGTATTTCCGGCATTATTTACCTGTCAAACACTCAGCCTGAAAAGCACTACGAACTGGTCACCGCTGATTGTGTGCCATCAGACAAACTTACGCAGCAGCGTTCCCACGGAGTCAGCGCTGTACCAAGCAAGACTAGGACCTCCATTGGCTCACCGACTCAATCAGAAAGTTCAGATCGTTCAGTAGGGGAGCCAACCCACAAGCATAATCCGAGCAGACGATCGAATTATAATTACGACGAAACAAAAACGGACAGAAGTCGTCACGTAACCACCGATGTCTCGAGTACAGGAGGTTCACGGATTCACGGATTCACGGATTGATACACAGGATCGAGGCTTTTGCCCAAGTTTCCCGGGTCGGTTTTGTTCTTGTCGGTCAGTGGCTGTCGTTCACCTGAAAGGCACAAGTGAAAAAAGGGTGTAGCACTGCTCTTTATGTTCTCACCGCGGGGCAGTATGCTTGCCAGCGCGAGGAATCGCATAAAAAATGTCTAATAATGCTTTAAACCGGGTTCTAGAAGGAGCGTGAACAACCGCCGGAGGAAGGCCATTCCACGCACCTACTACCCGAAATGAGAAAAAATTATGTCTAATGAATGTGTGTGCCCTGGGCTTGAAAATTTTCTTACTGTTTCCTCGCCGGGTGTTTGCTGGGTCAACGGTAAAAACCTGTTTGCCAAGCTTTGTTCAAACAGGGCGTAAGTAAGAATTAGGCTCCCTCGGAGGCGACGGTACTCCAGGGGAAAGAGATCAAGCGTCGCGAGACGCGTTTCGTAGTCCACGGACTTGAGGCCGGCAACCATTCTCGTGGCGGCCCGCTGGACACGCTCAATGAGGGTAACGTCTTTCGTACGTCCTGAGTAGACAACTTGGTTGGCGTACTCCAGGAGCGGTCTGACGTAGGCCCCATAGAGTATTTGGAAGTCCATGCGAGTAATACGGGAGAAGGTACGTCGGATCATCCGTAAAACGGCGAATGCCTTTTGGGCCGATTTCTCATGGTGTAGTGCGAAGGACAAGTTTGAGGAGACCCAGATGCCTAAATCTTTTTTGGCATCTATCCTCATGATGTTTTCTGGTCTCTTTTCACCATGCATAAAAAAGGCATTCGCTGAGTCTCCTCCAAACGATATATGGACGCATTTTTCATCATTCAGAGGAAGGTGCCAGTCCAACGACCACTGCTTGGCAGCGTCTACATCCATTTGGGGGGGGGCACTGGCATTGGAACTCCAGGATTTCAATTCATCCGCAAAAAGTAGACATGGGCTTGCAAGAACATCTGGGAGGTCGTTGACGTAGATCAGAAACAGCACTGGTCCCAGGACAGAGCCTTGAGAAACTGCAATGGAGACCGGCGCTGGGGAGGGGTAGGTCGAACCTATTCTCACTCGGAATGATCTGTTTGATAGGGACGCTTTGATCGAGAGTAGGATTTTCTATTTAATCCCGTAACACACGGGTTTGTGGAGCAGCAGAACGTGTAAGACCCTATCAAATGCTTTTAAGAAGGCGAAAAATATGGCGTCCGATATGAGTCCCTCGTCCTTTGCTTGGGTTANCCCTCGTCCTTGGCTTGGGTTAAGCTGTTCATAAACGCGAGCATGTTTGTCACGCAAGAGCGGTTTGGGAGAAATCCGTGTTGGGCTGGAGATATCAGATTGCTGGAAGTAAGGTGATCTAGGATAGCTCGCTTTAGAATGCGTTCCAGCAGCTTGCACGGCACGCTAGTGAGGCTTATAGGCCTGTAGCGCCCAGGTGATCGTTGGTCACCAGTTTTGTAGATTGGAGTGACAATCGCCTACTTCCAAACAAGGGAAAGTGGTTTCCATCAAGCAACTGACGAAACGCCAGGTTGGAATGATGTGTCAGTGTAGACGACGTTTTCTTCAGATTCCTTGGATGGACCTCGTCGGGTCTAAACGCACATAATAGGTTGATCTTGTGCAAGAGTTGACGAATGTCCTCCACCGTGTAGACCAGGTCGGTGAGAGGCTTGTCCTAGTTACGCCTTGACAACAGTGGGTGTGACGTGGACGCTGGGGCTGAATGTAGACCGCATAGTGTTCTCTGTAGAGCTCAGATACCGTCACTGTCCCTCGAGTAAACACGGATGGCTTGTTTCCGCGGCGATGTCTCATGTATTTGAACAGTACGTTTTTGTTTTTCCGGGCGAGGTCTAGGATGGTGGCTTGTTTTCGTATGTTCCATTAGCGGATTTCTGATTTACAGCGGTTCCCCATTTTGCGAAATGTTAGCTCATCTTCTGCAGCCACTAGAGTCGACTTTTTGAAAAAAGTTGGAACCTCTTTTCCGGAATTCGCGGAATCCTTTTAGGCAGCATACGGCCCATCCGACCGCGTGCTGGTTTCTTTGGGACGAACGTCACGTCAGCCTCTTGAACTTTCTGGACAATGGTACTATATAATCGTTCCGCTGAAGCTGGCCTCCTTTTAAGTTGTTCAAGAAATGTGCGCATTCCTGAGAAGCATGCGTGGCAGAAGTCCCAAAACAACGTTCGAAGTTCAGGATTTTTGGCCCAACATCTGATGAAATCAATGGTCGGCACAGATTGGCCGCTATGTCCCAGTGGAGCGGTAATTTTTACCTGATCAACGAAGTGTCTTTCGTTAGTGACGACCGAATCCAGGAGAGATGGTAGTTGGTCTGCGCCATATCTGGTGGGTGCAACGACATGTTGAGTCCAAGCGCTCCGTTGATCGACTTCAGTCAGCACCGCTGCAAAAAGCTCGCTTGAGCCGACGCACTGGAGCTCCATCCAATCGATCAATGAAAATGATGGCAGGTCGCTGTTGGCCTAGTGGAACTACGCTGATGACTAAATAAATGTGTCGGACGCAGTTTGAATCCCGAGTCCACTAAATTTCTGCTTTTTTTCTTCTCATATTGTAAATGTAACTAGGTTAATGCCTATTACGTTTTCCCGATCTGTAAAGTCTGTGTTTGTTGTTTGAAAGGCATGATTCACATAATGCCCGATTGAACAGTCGTCCCCCTGTCGCTTTTCTGCCTAAAGCGGTGATTAAACATTATTATATGAAAAGCATTCTATATTAGTATCAGGCGTGAAAGCCGAAAAAGCAGAGTTCGCCAAATTCGTCCCAGTCAGTAGGGTTTGTGGATCTTGATAACCAACGGCTCACTTTGTATTGTTGCCCGGATGTATCTTCACTGGTATATTGATACTCAAGTCCTTCTTCCTGGAGCGCCAACTAGTTTTTTGATAACTTCTCCATTAGCTGAGCCAGATTTACGATTAGTTGAAGAATTGCGGTACTCTGCCGAAATACAAGCGGCAACACATTGCATATGAAGTTGGAAAGGTGCTTATCGACCAGTATATCCACGACGGCTTCGGTAAGTACCAGTCTCAATTGATAACTTCATTGGTTTTTACCGTCATTACCGTCATTGTTTGCAACACTCCATCAATGTGACCGTGTATTGATGGTGGAATCTGACGCTTGGTTTAAAGGATTCGCTGACATCGCAAGCGGTAATTCTACGCACCACGTTAGATATGTGTGGGGTGAAGTCTGGCGGAGTATTTAATCATAACTATGTAGGTAAGTGCGGTGCACCTTTCTTAAGCATTGGTCATGGGGATCGGGTGAGGGGCCTTGTATAACTTCGTCAAAAGCGGGCATTTGTCCCCTCTGCTTGGGCTACTCAACTGGTTCAAGGGTATGATCGGTGGGCAGTTCTGCATCAAGGTATTTCTCGTGGATAACATGATATCTCAGTGCGAGCTGTCAGAGGCCCACCCGGCTGTAACGCACGCCAGGCTATTAAGAAGTACATAAGTTCCGGAAGCCTGTAGCAATTTATCTGGCTGGTCATTTCCAGCGGGGGACGACACACGTTTTGACGCACTACTCGCTTTGATAATACGGTAGGAAAATGAGCCAATTTGTAATCCACTTGATATTGGTCATTCAGATTTCAATGATTTAAAGATCATAAGGATGGGCGACCCTGGATTTGTCTCGTGCCCAGGAACCATACATCACCCGATATCGTGTCGCTTATGCGCGGCCCAGGTTGGTCCTCTTTGGACACATGACTGCTACGCCAATAGCCCATAGTGTACCACCTAGATGGTCTACCGGCACGTTGAGTACTTCGTATGCGAGTATAAGATGCACGCCACTCACTACCGTGACCTTGATAAATTCTGGAAAGAGACAGCTATGTTCTTCTCATTGTTTACCGCCCGGTGCGCATTGACTCGCGCATGCCAAAGCTGAAATTCTACCATAACTGGCCAGTATAATGTTGGAGATACTTTATTAATACTGGCTAGATTTGGGTGAGTGAAGGTCTTTCGGGGCCATACCTAACTGTGATGCTACCTTGACGGGGCAACCGGACTAACCGGCTGCCATGACCGCACAGGCTACGCTGGTCTGAAGTACATCCTGTAAAGTTTAGCCACACCAGAAGAGCTAATGGCTAGAGGCCAGTTTGATTGCACCAAGCGCTAAATGTCTTCGTTACAGCTCCTGATGTTTCTACCCGCCAAAATTCAGTAATAATGAAACTTGATGCGAAATTAGCATGCAAGGATGTATAAGTGAATGTAAGTATCCCGTAGTTTATTCTTATGCTTAGAAAAAAATAAATTGACACCATTTACCCACCCAGTAAATAAAAAGTCGCTACGGCGACGCATTTAGTTACACTTTTAAGGACGCTTCATGGCATCCCGGGGCTCAACTTTGAACCATAAAGTAAAGCCGTCCCTGCGACTGCCATGTACGCAGCCTCATCAACTTTGCTTGGGTCGCTCATTTTCAATAGTTGGTTAGATTTATGTAGTTGCCTTCATAAGTTTAGGATGTTTCAACGCTTTTACTGGAGGCCTGACCGACCGTAGACTTTTCATTTCAGAATTATCGTCGACTGACATTGGGTGGAAGGTGCTAATCGGAGTGGCTACCCAGTACGTTTGTACGAGTGCATCAAATAAACAAAAAAGTGCGGTTAACAAACGCTGCTCTTGTATTAAACGAGCGCGTCAGAATTGCATCGCGAACAGTTGCGAATACCAGCGCTCGTCACTCGATGCATTTTTTGGCCTCCTTGACATTATGTTCACGACTTGGAGATGTTTCTCAAAGGGGTGGCGAAAATTTACACAAGGATCGTAAAAAAATTATAAATAAGCTCCCAAGCAAACGCCTCCTCGGGGTGTCTATCATTCATAAAGCTGCACTGTTCCATTAGGAATAATAATAATGTTTATTCCCAATTTGCGGATGGCGTACCGTCAGGCATGATGATGCATCCAGTCAGAATAAAGCACGACTGGGGGGAGTACTAGGTACTAGACAGGTACTAGGAGTTGCGCAAAATGGAAGACGATGTCAGAAATAGTGGACAATATCCGATGAAGTACTAATAATAGGCTCATTATTTCCCTACTTGTCAGGAACATACCGATTGAGGCCTGATCGGATGGTTACAGCCTGAGCACGGCGGACCACAACACAGCGTGGAGGAAGGTACAACCAACGAAGCATGCTTTTTACATGAAAAGTCATTGCAATTGCGGGAACTGAAAAAATAAAAAAGTAGGACAATGGGCACGAGGTCCGACTGGTTCAAAAATGACGTCGGCTTATATGAACTGAAAGTGAGGACCGTTCTTGGCTACGAGTGACCTTGGGCGGTTGAACAAACGGAGATGGAGATGAAAATAATTTGAAGTGAAAGCAAATGACAAGTTTTGTCTAACAAATATGGTTTAACCTGAGACTAAGTAGACTCACTAGTGCCACTGATGTAGGGAAGTCGGGTGCAAAGATGTGGTTCGATGGGAAAGTCGTGCTAATGCACACGGCCAAACGAACACTGTATGGAATTGAACTTGTGTGAGAAGCATGATATGTATCGGAATCAGGTACGATCAAAGGCTACATGCTACCTGGGAAAGAGCGCACAAATCCCCAGCTATGACGCGAGCCCAACCACTCATAGCGCAGAGAGAAGAAGACCAGACCATCAGCAGAGGGCTTTTACTGCCTCAGACAAAGGTGAATCACGGTGAGAGCAACGTCGTATATATATTTCGGGCGACCTTGGGGAGGGATGAATCGGTTAGTGCACACAAAGTATGACTGGCCAATAGGAAAAAGACGCGTCTTTTTGGATTAAGGTTCAACACGGCGGAAAAGGCGCAAAATTTAAAAATTCAAAATTTTCGGAAAATAACTTGACAATAACTCGAAAAATAAGCCGTCTTTGGGGATACTAAAATCTCCAACATTGGAATTGAACTTATGGAGGAGGCAAGCCGGAATTGCAGCAGAAAACCAGGTTGATCAAATCCGGTCGAATGTTTCATAGA